TACATTTTTGTCAGCGTAAAGATGGTTACATCAGTGCAAAACCACAACGTTCACAACACACTCGCGTATGCACGCACACACACGGACACACACACAGTTTGATGGAAGGATTTCTATCCTATCAGTGAGAACAGGACGTGCACATTGATTGGACGAGGTTTTTTTTAGGATTGTACGTTTCAATTGTGATTAAAATTATTCTTTATTTTGAAAAAAAGTTAATTTTTAGATGCCATCAGCATGTGAGGTATCTCAATGTTCTCATGACAAAACTCTAACATGAGACTGTGCTCTAACCTGTCACACAACAAGCTAAATGAAAGTCAAACATTTCAAAATGGACCGTATGACAGCTGTTAACGTTGGCCCTGCCCAACTTTATTCTCTCTTTATTCTGCTCTCCCCACCTATTCCACCTTCCTCAAGATCCACTGGTTTCCCTCTTTCCTATTCACTCTCTCTCTCTTTCTTAACATTTTTTCTTTTAAATCACAATTGCTTATTCTTATTCATTTTAAATATATTTTTAAACATTTTCGAAATGCTTTTTTATATTTTTAAAATTTTTATTTTTTTTTGTTTTTGTTTTTGTGAAGCGCCTCGTGATTTTTATCTTGAGAGGCGCTATATAAATGATATTTTCTTCTTCCAACTTTACCTCTACATTCAGTTCCTTTATCCATGTCCATCCTAGAGCTCCTCTCTGACCTTCATGCTTATTTAGAGCAGCTGATTTATAAAGTTATCAGAGTTCATCCTTGGTAGTGGGTTCACTCACTCATTTAAATATATCGGCCAGAGGCAAAATTCGTTTGAACGGCATGTGTAAATGTGTATTAAAACGTTAGATGAAAAAAGTTTTTGGATTTTGACGGCTGGAATTGTAAGATAATCTGATGTTTGTGACCGGTGCGGGAAAAAGAGAAACTAACTTCCGGTCTAAGCCCTGGGCAGCTGCTGACGTTTCACATGGAGCTCTGCTGAAACAGCTGTAGTACACAACGCCTGACTCCGGTGTTTCTGCGTTAGCGTTATAGCAGAGAACAATGTGTCATCAATCAGGTGTAGCTTCTGAAGCCTCTGCTAGTCGGTCAGATTTGTGTTTTCTCTGGGACACGGCGACGAGAACGGATAATGGATTACCGGAGAAGTTCAACCGAGTTCCGACCCCGCCAGCTGGATATCACTACCAGAGGTGCAGACATGTTTTAGACCGTTTGACTCAGAAGACCTGCGACCCAAAATGGACATAGAGGAGGATTCTGTTCATCTTCAGAACCAAAATTGATACAGTTTGTTTACTTTTCTTAAATATTTCATTTCTGTGCTCCACTGGGAGCTCTAAGCTGACGAGTTCTCAGCTGGTCTTAGCTCCATCATGTGTCCCAATATAGTTCAGTAATCAACAGTTTTACTGCTGTGTGTATTTATTGATATAACTCTGGAAAATATTTAACCAACAATTTACCAGAATAAATCTTCCTGATGCTGGAGTAACTCCTTAGCTCAACTCGTTGTTTGCACTAATCCAGGATGTCATGGAGGTTCTAATGTTGAAATATAGAGATCATCTTTTAGATTATAACTGTGTGTGTGTGTGTGTGTGTGTGTGTGTGTGTGTGTGTGTGTGTGTGTGTGTGTGTGTGTGTGTGTGAAAATAGTGAATTTTACCCATAAACTGAATCTGAAGGATCTTGAGGAGTGGGAGTCAGAGACACACACTTGCTGGTTCACAGGGGACTGGGGCCCTGTCCACGGAGCTGGGGATCTGCAAAACGTAGATATTTTTCTACGTTTTGGCCTGTTATCCACACAAAAACGGAGTTTTTTCACACGAAAATGGATCTTTTTGAAAACTCCAGCCAAAGTGAAGATCTGCGTTTTCTCCGTTTTGGGTGTCTGCGTGTGGACAGACTAAACCGGAGTTTTAAGGTCCGCAACGTCACTTTCCGCGACAAAAAAATGCTGACATCACGTGTGTGACCTGTGTTTACACTAGCCGGCATCATGGAAGCCTTCAGAGCTGCGCTCTGTCACTACCCGATCCATCAATTGTCCAAGCACTTTTTGCTTGTTTGTTTTTGCAAGCGGAATTACTGAGAAGGGTCTGGCTGCGGCCACTGTGGAGCTCCACAGTAACCGGAAACACGTGACCTCCACACTAACCGGAAACACGTGACCTCCACAGTAGCCGGAAGCATGTGACCACCACAATGGCAATAAACACATGGATACCGCGGACGTCTCGCAAAGGTTGGGACAGTCTTTCTTAAATAAACTCGCCGTTAGTGATTTCATAATTCAGGTTTTCTTACAATGATCATGTTGCCACTTTTTTTGCGTTACAACAACATTCCTTCTTATTTAATTGTTTTTTTCCCATCGTGCTCAATGGCAGAGAAACACACAGATATGCTTTTTACTGGGCCTGGTTTAAGTAAGAGACTTGGATTAACGGCTTCTGTGGGCGAGAAGAAGAAAAAACACGTTTTGCATTAGAGTATGATTTATTGTTGGCATCAGAGATGCAAAATAACGAATACTTCAATACTGTACTTAAGTAGAATTTTCTGGTATCTTTACTGTTGTACTTTTTTGTGCCTACTGTATACTTCTTTATACTTCTACTTCTCACATTTTAGCACGCGTGTCTGTACCACAGTCTATGGTCTGTACTTTGTAATCCGTACATTTGTAAATCAGCCCCCCGCACGCGTGCTTTGGACGCAAGATTACTTCAGGATTTTGTACATAAATTATATTTTATACCCTGTAATTCTTACTTCCACTTGACTAAAAGGTCGAGTCAATGCTTCTACTTTTATTTGACTATTTTTAAACAGAGGTATCTAAACTGTAGTATGGAACGTGTGCACTTTTGACACCTTAGGTTAGCGTCAACACTGTACATTTCGTCACAAACAGATTTATATAATTATCAATACTTGTATTCGTTATTCTATTCTGTACAGCTTTTTTATTGCCCAGATTTTAGTTACCCCCTGTTCAATTGACTGTTATATGTCAATAGAAACATATCTCACAAATGAAAGTGTCTTGTAAAATGTTTTTTTTTGAAGAATTTTCCTCCCAAATCTATTACATGCTAACTGTAATGTGTTATTTCTGCTAAAACCTGAACTTAAATGTGTATATGCTGTTTATCTGTTTTTCTCTCTGTTTTAGATGCACATATCAATCTGGAATTCGGGCTTAAAGGAGACATAACATGAAAAACCCACTTTTTTTATCCATTAACACAGTGTGTTTCACATTTTAAGTGTCTAAGTGAGCAAAAAGGCTTATATTATTCACTGGAGTTGTTATTTAGATATTTAATAATTAAGTTTTGGGCATATTTGTCCACCCGTTTAGTTTTTCAAATTATCTATTACATCAGTAATTTATTTCGTCAGGATAACTACCAAATATGGTAATGGCCCTCGGCTAAACACAGAGCCAATCCGCCATTTTTTCAGGTAAGATTTAATTATATTTGTTAGCAAAGTAGACTGATCTTGGGAATTTCACTGCAGCACTGATGTCCACCTCTGTGTACACATTAGAGAGAATTACCACTTTACAGCTAAACACATATTTAATAAAGATATAGGCTACGCATTGCAGACAATAAAAACAAAGTGGTAAGCATTAGAATTATAATGATCACATTAAAGAACATTGAGAAATGTTCTTTATTTGTCACTAGAATCTCAAATCTTTAGATTAAAATGTAACTGCTTTTTATCCATTTTCAGCCATTAAGACACCCAATATAAAATAAGACTACTTATAAAATTATTTATAATTATATGTATGTATATATATAGATAGATAGAGATCTTAATAAAATATATTCTTTTAATGGTGTTTTAATGAGCTGTATCATTTTTTTAAACATTTTTTATAGAAATAAATAAGCAAGCAGCATTCCTTGTGTGTGTGTGTGTGCTCACGCGTGCCTGCTCGCTTGTCCTTCTGTCGGCCGTGACGGATGTGTGTGTGTGTGAGTGCGCGCGCGCACGTGCCTGCTCGCTTGTCCCTCCGTCGGCCGTGACGGGTGTGTGTGAGTGACTACAGACAAATGCATGAGAGAGTTAGCAGCCTTGAAACGGCTTGATGAACTACTCTCCCCACATGTTTTGAAAATGCTAATATGCTATGCTAAATAATGATTTCTCTATAGAACTACAAAGTCCAACTGGGGGAGGAGAGTACAGGTCTGCACTATGGAGGGGGGCGGAGTTTACAGCTCCTCCTCCAGTTTAAAGAGACAGTACCCAAAAACGGCTCGTTCTCAAGACTCTCCTCAGAACAGGGGTAGATGAGGGTCTGTAGAGCAACAATAATGAGGAAATCAGACCAAAGAACTGCAGATCCACTGTATTTAGACCCCAACGGAAGGATTTAGATGTAAAAAGGAATAACTTAAAAGCATGTTATGTCTCCTTTAAAGCCAGAATTGCAGGAATGCAACACGTGCTGCAGAGGACTCTTTCACTGCCCTCTGTGCCCCACTTCCAGCCCTACTGTCAGGGCAAAGATTGAGGAGCATCTAAGTGTGCATATGAAAAATGCTTTGCATTTCAACGGTATGTTTGTATTAAATATACTTTATAGTTATAAATATGCACTTTTTTAAGCACTTCTGCAGTATCTTTGTTGACTTAAAAGTTGCTGTTGACATTGTACAGTTCAGTGGTAGTTATGGACTTACACAGAAAAGGGGTGTTCAAGTTAGCAGGTAAGTTTAATGTACATTTGTGTTCATAGTTCATTGTGTACATTATGTGCATGTTTTATGAGTCAATTTATTATAGTGAGTGACCTCAAAGCCCAGGCAGACTTCAATGGTGAACATGACATTGAAGGTTTTTGGAACTCTGTTCACCTGGAAATGATAAGCCGTGGGTTTTTTCCAAGTGAGTGATGGCAAAAACTTATTCAAAGTCATTCAGTGTTTTAAAGTAATTTAGATTGTAATGAAAAACATGCCATTTTCTGTAGGCGGCGCGAAGAATCCATGTTCAGTTCCACCAAGTTACACGTCCTGGGCACCATGGATCGGGAATGAAACTCGAACAAGTGACATTGTGCTTAACACAGAGTTTCAAAAAGTAGGAATAAGCTCTTCACTAGCCTAGTGAACTAGACCAAATTCTTGCTTTGCAAAGTATGAGGTTGGAGTGGTAAGAAAATTGTGTAAAGCATGCAACATCGACTCCAAAGGCTCCCGCTTTGATCTCATCACCAGACTGAGGGAGAAGATGAAGAGCAGGCAGACATATGATAAGGTGTTTCAAAGCATATGGGGTGCCTCTGGTAAGCTTCACTTAGCGATTATTAGAAGTAGCATTAAAATATGTAATTACATTCACAAACAACTTTTTAAATCTTTGCTTGCAGGAGGATGGTCTGTAATACTATGTCCACATGGCATTGTATACAGTGTTAAATTTAATCTTCGTGCTGAAAGTCCCCGGGATTTTGCTGACCTTCTCCTGTCCTGGAAGCACATGCCAAACGTCTGTGTTTACGATTTTGCGAGGGGTTTGGCGGCACACACCAATTTGCGGGTTCCTGATAAACTGCCATTTCACCCACATGAAGGTCGACTGGCTGAGCCCACTGAGGAAAATGTCAAGGCTGCACAGGATGGAAGCCTGAAAGTGAATCTTCCATGGCTACATGAAAGGATGGATAGTGTAAATGAAGATCCTCATCCTGTCACTGGATCATCTGACCATTATGTCCTGGATGACAGATTTCATGAGGGAAATACAAAAGATCCCAAGGACATATTACGCAGAATTCAACTTGTCCCAGAGCTGAAAGGCTGGCTGAACAGTCAAGTTGTTGAACAGTTCTTTGCAAACATGAGGAAAAACAATTACTTTTTAAGTAACATGAGTCCATCCACACGTGTTTCTGATGAGAAATATGACTCATCATTATAACACTGTCACCAACAAGAAACTTCTGGAGAGGCAGCTAAGACATGGTCGACTTGGAAACATCAATATCTCATTGTCGGCACTGGCTCAAGCTGTCGTAGGTAAGTACATGCATTGTCTCATGACCAGAACGCTACCAATGGTCACATGTTAGATTTGTTCCTATCTGTGTGTTTATATTGTTTTCTTTGTGTACCTAGCCCCACAGGTGTGCAATAAACCCAGAGAAACCACAGAAACGGTGTTGAACCCAGCACCTTCAATGTCTGGTGACACTGGTAAAATTTCTTATTTTGAATAGTGATTGTCATATACAGGTGAAATAATAATCTTGCATTCATTATCTTGTTGTAGTTGCGGGCTCGTAAACGAACTTATCTGCTGTTTCAAATGAATTTCCGTCTGTAAACAGTGCTTATTTTTCTTGCATTTGTTTGCATTTAATATGCATTCTATTGAGTGTTTTGTCTGAAACCTGTTAAAGTCCCTACATATCCTCAGGAAGGAGTTGACAACAAGAAAGCCAATAGAAGGTCAACAGATGCAACGTTTCCTGACCTGTGTGGACCACCGTGCGAAGCTCTGACAAAGCCTGAGAACATTTTGGCCAGCCGTTCATCGTGGTGTTTTGTACCGCACCCTGGCCAACAACAGCTTGTATGTTAAAGTTTTCAGATGTCGCAAAGTGCAACGTGCTTATCTGATTTTGTCATCCACAGTCTATGACATCTCTCTGTTTTTTAGCTCAACTATGTTCTGGAAGTCAGCAGACCCAAAGATGAGCTGATTGTTGAAACGTCTTCTGGATGCCTCACGCGGGCAGATTTTTGGGCACTGGGTTTAAACAAAGAAATGGAATCGACTGTAAGTATTTTGTTTCTATGAATATGAAATAATAAAGTGTACTTTAATTTTTTTTATGATTTTTTTCTGTTTCAGATTGCAAATGGCTGTTTTGAGCTTATCACTAAAATTGTTCAGTCAAAGGTACTGTATGTTGTATAGGATGATTGTCAAGCTTTAATTTAAAGAGTTGTTGTTTTAAATTTAAATGTGCTGTTTTTACATTCTAGGGGATAAGCATTTACATAGAAAATCTGTATGTCACCCGGACTTGGCTTGCACCCTATGGCTGTGATCCATTGCAGTCCTTTCCTGTAAGTGTACCGTCTGGTGAGAGTTCATATACACATAGGCATCATTTTAACCGGGGACGCCGGGGACATGTCCCCGGCAAAATTTGTGATTGGCAGCTGTGTCCCCCCCCCCACTTTCAAAAACGCCTGCTGATGAGGATTTTTGTTTTACCAGCTCAGATCTTATACCAGGGGTCGGCAACCTGTTCCCATCAAAGAGCCATTATTACCCGTTTCCCACGGTAATTTTGGACGGACCTTAATAAGCAGTGACTTAAGTGAAGCAGGCAGGTCGCGCTAGAAAATTTAGTTTAAAAAGACGTCATAAATGTGTTTCCCCGTCCTTTTTATTTATAAAATATGAAGTAAAAACTCACAATTCAATTTTCATTCATTTGTCATTAATATGTAGTCTACACCCGTGCGTTAAGTGGACCATCTTCCAGTAAAAGCAAAGCATCCAGCACCACCTCTCCAAATGCGTAAAATGTGCATCAGCCGCTAGTTAGGCGCGCCGCGCGCACCATCAGCTACGTCAGCCCAGACAAGAGCAGAGCAAATAGAGAAAGAATAGAGGATAATTGTGTCTGGATGTGGATGGAGATTACATTTTACATCAGCCTGATCATCATTTAAACACGTAAACCATCACCTGTCTTCTAGTCCACGCTATCAGCATTATTTTAATTGGTGTGTGTGTGTGTGTGTGTGTGTGTGTGTGTGTTTTCCACTTCAAACACTGGTCTAACCAACCAGACCAGCGTGTCCAGTAACATATTAATGTTACAATTAAACAGTTTCCCTTCATGTAGGCTAGGAACATTTCACCTGCCGTGGCCCGACCGCTTCTGCTCCACATAAACTTTGTGCGTGATCAAATGTCTCTACGCGTCATGCGTCTCCATATTAGAGACGGGAACAAGCGCTATTCAGCCAAAGTTTCATAATTTCATAAAAAGAACATTTTTCCAAGTGACACATCCCTCAGAGAGACCAGGTGTCCAGACCGCTTCAGTGGGAGGAAATCTTATCGCATGCGCCGGTTCTGCACTGCGCTGCGAACCTCAGATCTTCAGCTCACTGTCCACCGTGCGCTCCGAGCCGCGCTGAACACAGTGTCCAGTATAAAGCTCTGATGTTCTGATGGGAATAATTTACCTCTGCGATGTGCGTTAACGATTAAAATGTCAGCTCATCCATGTGCATCAGTGTGCGTCGGGGTAATTCTTTCAAACCAAGCAACATCCTTGAGTTCATCTGTCAAAATAAACAGTCAAATGGAAATATATGTAACCTGCCGTTTATCTGTTTTGCCTTCCTGTGAAGATTGTTGCAAAGAGAAACAATTAAACTTGATTAACCCCAGAGAACCAGAGCGCAAGCGGGAAGATTCCTCCCACTGAAGCGAGTGTTTTCCAAACCCTGTCTCTCAGAGAGACTTGTCACCTAGAAAATGTTCCCTGATTATGAAACTTTGGCTGAATAGCGCTTGTTCCTGTCTCCAATGTGGCGACACATCCAGGAGCCGTCTGAGGAGAATCCCAGAATCTCACATTGTCTTCAGCTCATAAAGTGCCTATATGATTACGCACAAGCGTGACCCGTCAACCCGGTCTCACAGTAAGACCGGGTTGGACCTGTTCAGGTTTACGCAGACAATCTTTACATTTAGAATTGGCATATAGATGTAAAATTAATGCAGTAAAATATAAAGCATTTTATTTAAATATCCATTCATTATTTTACAAGCACAGATGTCAGATGGATGGAAGAGCCTCATGCGGCTCCAGAGCCGCAGATTGCCGACCCCTGTGCTAGCCTACTTTATTGTCCCCAGCAAATTTTAAACCCCACTCAAGTGTATGGTTATTGTCCCCAGCAATTCTGAAAACAAACTGATGCCCTTGCATATACAGAATACTTCAAAATAAAATTCTGTTTCAGACTGATGCTCAGAGGATGGACATCATAGTTCTCCCTCTCTGGACACCTAGGTGTCATTTTAACCGGGGACGCCGGGGACATGTGCCCGCAAAATTTGTGATTGGCAGCTGTGTCCCCCCCACTTTCAAAAACGCCTGCTGATGAGGATTTTTGTTTTACCAGCTCAGATCTTATCCAGGGGTCGGCAACCTATTCCCATCAAAGAGCCATTATTACCCGTTTCCCACAGTAATTCTGGACGGACCTTAATAAGCAGTGACTTAAGTGAAGCAGGAAGGTCGCGCTAGAAAATTTAGTTTAAAAAGACGTCATAAATGTTTTCCCCCGTCATTTTTATTTATAAAATATGAAGTAAAAACTCACAATTTAATTTTCATTCATTTGTCATTAATATGTAGTCTACACCCGTGCGTTAACCATCTTCCAGTAAACGCACAGCATCCAGCGCACCTCTCCAAATGCGTAAAATGTGCATCAGCCGCTAGTTAGGCGCACCATCAGCTGATCAGCCCAGACAAGAGCAGAGCAAATAGAGACAGAATAGAGGATGATTCTGTCTGGATGTGGATGGAGATTACATTTTACAGCAGCCTGATCATCATTTAAATACGTAAACCATCACCTGTCTTCTAGTCCATGCTATCAGCATATATTTTAATTGGTGTGTGTGTGTGTGTGTGTGTGTGTGTGTTTTCCACTTCAAACACTGGTCTAACCAACCAGACCAGCGTGTCCAGTAACGTATTAATGTTTCAATTAAACAGTTTCCCTTCATGTAGGCTAGGAACATTTCACCTGCCGTGGCCCGACCGCTTCTGCTCCACACGAACTTTGTGCGTGATCAAATGTCTCTACGCATCATGCGTCTCCATATTAGAGACGGGAACAAGCGCTGTTCAGCCAGTTTCATAATTTCATAAAAAGAACATTTTTCCAAGTGACACATCCCTCAGAGAGACCGGGTTTCCAGACCGCTTCAGTGGGAGGAAATCATTGCATGCACCATGGTTCTGCGCTGCGCTGCGAACCCCTCAGATCTTCAGCTCACTGTCCACCGTGGGCGCTCCGAGCCGCGCTGAACACAGTGTCCAGTATAAAGCTCTGATGTTCTGATGGGAATCTTTTACCTCTGCGATGTGCGTTAACGATTAAAATGTCAGCTCATCCATGTGCATCAGTGTGCGTGGGGGTAATTCTTTCAAACCAAGCAACATCCTTGAGTTCATCTGTCAAAATAAACAGTCAAATGGAAATATATGTAACCTGCCGTTTAACTGTTTTGCCTTCTTGTGAAGATTGTTGCAAAGAGAAACAATTAAACTTGATTAACCCCAGAGCCACCCAGAGCGCATGTGGGAAGGTTCCTCCCACTGAAGCGAGTGTTTTCCAAACCCGGTCTCTCAGAGAGACTTGTCACTTAGAAAATGTTCCCTGATGATGAAACTTTGGCTGAATAGCGCTTGTTCCCGTCTCCAATGTGGCGACACATCCAGGAGCCGTCTGAGGAGAATCCCAGAATCTCACATCGTCTTCAGCTAATAAAGCGCCTATGATTACGCACAAGCGTGACGCGTCAACCCGGTCTCACAGTAAGACCAGGTTGGACCTGTTCAGGTTTACGCAGACAATCTTTACATTTAGAATTGGCATACAGATGTAAAATTAATGCAGTAAAATATAAAGCATTTTATTTAAATATCCATTCATTATTTTACAAACACAGAGCCGCATCAGATGGATGGAAGAGCCGCATGCGGCTCCAGAGCCGCCGACCCCTGTGCTAGCCTACTTTATTGTCCCCAGCAATTTTTAAACCCCACTCAAGTGTATGGTTATTGTCCCCAGCAATTCTGGAAACAAACTGACGCCCGCACATCGCAGAGGTAACTTTATTCCCATCAGAACATCAGAGCTTTATACTGGACACTGTGTTCAGCGTGTAGCACACTGGAATATGTTCCATATGGTTTGTTTATTATGTTCCATATGTTGTGTTTATTTCATTAAGGGTTGAACAATTTAGGTCTCAGGATATATATATATATATATATATATATATATATATATATATATTAGTTAATCTATAATGTTACCAGTTAGAATGTTATCCATAATGCTTACTGGTGTTAAACAGAAAAGAAAATGTTGTACTAGTCCTTTAAGAGAAGAAAAAGAAAGGTTGGACGAGGCTTTTGAAAAAAAAAAATGGATGCTTGAGTTCTGAACCAGGGGCATTTTTCCAGTTAATAAAAGTTGCAAAAGTACGAAGAAAAACGTGTCGTCTGGCAGTTCGTTCAAAGGGGGCAACATAATCTTGGTGTTTCCGCCCGGTTCAAGCAAGTATTGATAGTGAACAACCTTTTTTTGTTTTTTTTTGGCCGAAGGACAAGGTGGCAATGCGAGGACGGGAGGTGAGCTAACTCCCGTCAGCGAGCTGCAGCTGTTAGCTTGTCAATTTAACAACCAAAGGACTACGGAACCAGAGATAAACAAGACGGATAATATATGTGGATAAAAGCCAGTGAGTAGTGCAAACCGAATAATGGACGGGGACAATGAATGGGAATCGCTACTGGCAGATGTGGAAAGGAAGCTAACAACATTATCACTGACTGAGCTGAGGGCTGTGTGCACAGAGCTAAAACTGCAGGCCAGTGAGGATGTTACTTCATGCCGGCTGCTAAGGAGAGCCGTTCTGAGTCACCTGGAGAGTATGGACATTACAGGGTTGGAAGATGCAGGACTCTCAGAGTTGTTAGCCACAAATGATATTATTGACCATTTAGCAGCAGGAAAGGATCAAACTGAGCCGCTGGTGCCGGAGAAGAGGGAGACGACGGCGCTGACAAACACGCCGCCCCAGAGCCCTCTGGTGGACAGAAATGGTACTGCATCCGAATCAACACCACAGCGTTCAAGCAGCACTGCTGGCCCAGAAACAGACTCTCTGCCAACCAGAACCCATGTAAATATGTATCCTGTATACAGAAAAGACTTCAGAATTATTGGCCAAATTGGTGAAGTGGGACAAAAGGAGAGATTAAATTTCACAAGCCTTGAGAGACAAATTGAACGTGGATTAAAGAAAGGCTATGATGAAGGTGAGATTGTGGAAGCAGTAATCCAGTCCATCGCACCTGAAGTTAAACTAAAAAGTTATTTAGAAAGTAGACAAGAGCTGTCACTACAGTCTTTAAGGCAAGTTCTCAGGACACATTTCGTAGAGAAAGATGCTACTGAACTGTATCATTCATTGACACGTGCCATCCAAGAGCCACAAGAGACTGTTGTCCAGTTTGTAATACGTGCCATGGATCTTAGACAGAAAGTGCTCTTTGCCTCTGAGAGAGCAAAAGTTGGACTGAAGTATGACTCTGAACTCATTCAGACCCAGTTCTTGCAAACGCTGCTGACAGGAATCAGAGATGAGGCGATACGTGCTGATATCAAGCCCTACTTGCAGCAACCATCTATTGGAGATGAATTGCTACTGGAGAAAGTAAGTGCAGCACATACTGTGGAGACAGAGAGAAGAAATAAATTACAGTCTGCTTCCAAACAAAAAAACGTTAAAGTGGCCGTGGTTCAAGAAGAGGAAAATGTCGAAGTTCATAAAACTGACAATCCAAAACAAAATCAGGGCCCTTCCGCTAAGCCAAACCCCATTCTCGAGAAGCTTGACGCCAGTAATAAGGTGATCTGTGAAGCGCTGCAGAATCTTACAACACATGTTGCTAGTCTCAACCAAGTGCAAGCAAGAAGATGGGAGGACAGACTACCCAAAGACAAAAATAAAACACTAACTACTGCTAAACCAATGCCACGAAAGTGTAGTGAATGTGAAAAATCAAATCCTGAGGGGAGGTGCACACACTGCTACAAATGTGGGAGCAGCGAACACTGGGCTGTTGGCTGCCGCAAAAAGAAAAACTCCACCGCAAGCACCTGTAAAATAGAAGTGCACTCTGATCATTTGAAACCTGTCACCATGTCACCTTGTCAGACTTCCATGTCAAAGAAACAAGAGAGGACAGCAAAACTAGTGGGACATAAAAGCCTCGTCCAGTGCAACCTTGGAGGCATCTCATGTACAGTCTTATGGGATACGGGATCCCAAGTGTCCATAGTTGACATTGACTGGAAGAAGAAAAATCTACCAGATGCTGAGGTTCGACCTGTGAAAGAACTACTGGATGAGGGTGTCTTAAATCTCTCCACAGCAAATGGGACGCAAATGCCATATGAAGGTTGGATTCTAGTAAATTTCAGCCTGGCTGAAAATGAAGAAAGTGAGCTAGCAGTTCCCGTGTTGGTGAGCACATTTCCACTCACAAAACCAATCATAGGAT